AGAAAGTAGACCTGCGTGTGTAAACATCGTATTGTCTCCCTAGTGTAAGAATCTGAAAGAGTAAGTAAAATTGAAAAGCACAATCATCTCCCCCTCTTAACACGATCGTTCTGGGAAGAATTACTTGTCCTATTTTTCTGAGAAAGAGAATCCTCTCTTTTTCATTCATTTATGGTTCAACTCCTTTTAATGTCCCCTTTCCAAATTCAGATAAAAGCAGACATTTTTCTTTAAAATGTTTTATAAAATCATTTTATTTGAAAACGAATCGGTCCTCTTACTTATCCAGCTGGGCCCACCATTGGCCTTTTGCGTGAACCACGTGTGCCGCGGAGAGTTTCCGGTTCTGGCTCCGCGCAGGTGGCCAGGGTCCCCCTGCAGGCTGGGGCGCGGGCCGTGACCCCGCCCGGGCCACTCCGGCCTTGGGGCACCTGGGAGGCTCCCAGGCCCTCCGGGTGATGCGGGAGAGGCTCCGGACGCTTCCAGCTCCAGGTCCCCGGAGGAGCCAAGAAGCCGGGCCGCCCCAGGCCTGCAGAGCCCGGCCGCTTTGACAGGCGACAGGCGAGAGGGGCCGCCCGGGCCGTCGACGCTCCCAGGGGCGCTGCAAGGCGCAGCACCGCGCCTGTCCTCATCGCGTTCCCAGATACTGGGCGCGACCCCCGGGGAGCGTCGTCCCCAAGTAAGGGGTGGTCGGATGGGAGGAAAAGCCTGAACGCGAACCTGAACGAAGAGTCTCACCACCATCGCCGCCAGCCCGTGCCGATCGGTCGCCCGAAGTCCTCGGCGCATTTGACTTACTGGTCACTTTCACGCAAAGCTGCTCTCTCCGGAGGTCCCTTTGTGCCGAGAAGAAAGGTTCAAAAGGATGAAACTAAAACAAATTCTAAGCAACCAGTTGTTTATTGGAGTCTGAGGAATAGTCATGAGTTAAATGAACCACTAGGGGGCACTCCAGGAGTGGACAAGCTTCAGGGCCATGGGCAGAGGAAAGGTCTTTTACAGTGTCTGAAGGAATCCGGGAGTATTTCGTCCAAAACCGCACAATGATTTGATATTTCAAACTGTTGAGTTTTTAAAAAATTTTTTTCTCAGCTTAGAGAGAAAAGTCTTCATAGTGGCCGGAAACACTAAATAACAGTAAACAGAATTCATGTCATTAAAAAGAAGTTAGAATGCATAGTGTATTTTCCAAATTTAGGTAGCTTCTCTAAGGCGGTGAAGAAACTTACAAAAGCTAGCAGTTTGAAATAACTGTAATTAATGACATGTATGACGTGACAAGAGTGCAAAAAGCATAGAATACTGTATATGGTTTCCCTATATGCATATGAAAGGAATCATGCCCAACTGACATTCTTGTTCTGATAAGGCAGAATTCTTAGGTAAGAGAAGCAGCTTTGCTGACAGGTGCTTAGGTCTTTCCTGGTGCATTTCCTTCCAGATAATACAGTACATGACAACGCGTGCTAAGAGATTAAATGAAGAGTTAAACGCCTTCACCAAGGACTGAGCTTCTCCTGCTGGGTACTGCCTTCCCTGACAACCCTTCCCACAACGGGCAGGCAGTGTTAGCTGCTCCATTGTCTGCAGGCCTCTGGCATCTTGCTGTTCAGAGAACAAGAACGCAAATTGTAGAGGTACAATTTCAAAAATGTCAATTCCAGCTGTGTGCTTTTCGCAAATCACTTTGCCTCAGTCTGTCCGTATCTGAAAAGGAGATAAAATCAATGCTTCCCAGGTTTATAGTGAAAAATAAGTGAATTAATGCGCACAAAATACTCTAGAAGTGTCCGGCGCGCGCTTATTGGTTTCATGGCTCAACGGCTTGAGGTGAACCCTCACCTAACGCGAATGCACTGCAAGAACAAATTGATGAAGAAACTGCAGGATTCCTCCATGGATTTGGAAGTGGTGTTTAGGCCACCACGTACACCTTTGTCACACCTAAAGAATGTGATGTCAACCAGTGAGCCAGAAATATAAGGAGTTTCAAGAAAAATAGGCTTGTTTAAGAAACACTGGCCAGGGACCAGGGATACAGCTCAGTGGCACGAAGTCTGTCGGGCAAGTGCAGGGCCTGAGTTTGATTCCCGATGCCAAAAAAACAAAACTTTTGCCAGGCATTTAGAAAATTTCCATCTTTGTTCACAGAATTTCTTGCTGTTTCTTCCCTTCCCTAAAGCACCTAAAATAGCCAAATTATTAGCTCTGGGCATATTGGTAACATTTCAAGAGAAAGGCTTTTAAACATGGTACCTAAAAAAATGCTACATGAAAGGGTTTCAGGCAACTTGATCCAAAATACACTATAAAGGAAATAGAAAACAACTCGGGAAACAGAAGTTTATGGTTAGCAAGTAATAAAAAACAGTTACAGGCTCTTGCTCACACTTACATTGTCAGGCGAAAATGGGCCATTTGAAAAACAAAGGTTGGAAAACAAATCTGACTACAAATACAAATGTCCAGGTTTATAGACTCAAGTGTGATCCCCGCATTCTGTCCTTTTCTGTAGGGTCTTATCAATAGATTTTCAAGTCCAATTCTTTTTCCAGCTAGATCTCTGTCTCACTTATCATTTTTAAGAATTCACATGAATAGACTGAAGAGCATGTTAGAGACGAACAGGTTTAAAGAAGCAAACGAGGCTTGTGCAGCTGATCAATGAAAGTACTGTGAAGGAACTGACCGGGTTCCTGCGGAGGACACTACAGAAATCAAATATTTCTTATTAGGGTAGAAAAAAATGTGCTATTTTTCTAGACTCTTCTAACTCTGTTTGAGCAGCCTGGCCAGTATCCTGGAGAAGTAAACTGTGTTACTTTTAAAGAACGATATCTTTGCGTCCAGGAGTGGCCTAGCCACACGGATTAGTCTTGCTTGTGCTGTGTGGGTTTACCAAACGGCGTTTTTCCATCAGGAAACTGGATGGAGAACCTAAGAAAGGGACTGCACTAATCAAGCTGACAGTGACTCGAAGGTTTATTAAAATGTATGGGAAACACTCAACAGGTTCAGTTTATAAAGTGGAAATTCCATTTCACGAGTACCATCATCAGGATCACGCGCTCGCGGGAGAACTTATGGTGTACTGAAATCCCATGTCAGGCGCTGCTCTAAGCATGACAAGAAAAGGGACAAAAGCTGAGAAGGACAAACAACGCAAATCACTAACATACAGAGTGTGACACGATGGTGAGTGCTGGGACAGGCAGGCAAGGAGGGCCATCGGGACTGCGGAGGTTGCGCCTGGAGCGCTGGGCTCCGAGAGGCCAGGGAGGTCTGGTGAGATTTGGTGATGTCAGCCCAGCTGCTGTTCCCACGGCTGCTCCCTGCCTCCAACCCTTGCTCTGCTTATTTCATTTCCTGAAACTCTCCTCTCCCTCCTGATGCAAACACTTCAGTCTTGCTTCACTGGATTGGAACTTGACTCTTCTCAAAGCTGTGCTTTCTCGTTATGGAAGAGAATGCCATGTGTATTTTGGTGGTCTGTAGTAGGGGTAGTGATAAGTCAGGACTAAGCGAGCACTGGGTATTTTTACACACTTGATGCATACACCCAAATACCGCAGTGAAGAGTCACTCTGCTCTTTCTGCCTCTCAGAGGTTGTCAGGCTAGGCAGAATGGGACATTAGTGGGCTTCTTTGAGTATTATTGTTTCACTGTCTCTTTGGAGCTCACACTCCATCCCCACTCCAGGAAGGCTGTGGCCCTGGGTTCTTGCCCTTCTGGTGGAAAGGCCACCCCAAGCCTCTTTGAGAGGAGTTGGTTGATTCCTACACAGCACTGCCTGAGCTGGTCAGGGAGCAGAGCCTGTGCTGACTCTGCAAAGAGGACATAGAAGTGCTGGGGGAGGGGTCAGTCATCATGCCTGGTAGCTTTCCCCTCTCCCCTGGCCGAGGGGACACTTATCACAACCTGGTTTTGGCAACCTTTTTCTCTCCTCTCCCTACTTGGATTCGTTCCTGGCTTCTCCATAGATTTCCTTTTCCTCTACCTGTGAGTGTGAGCGGACAGCTAGGGCATCAGCCCTCCTCTCAAGCCTTCTCTCCCCAGGCCACAAGATCTCACTGTGCGGCCTTAAATGTCATCTCCTGGATCAGGTGTAGTTTCCACCAAACTTCACAATTAATAGCGCTACTGCTCCTGCGGCCATTGTCGTGTCCAAGAGACACTGCAAACCTAACATGACCAGCACAGAAGTTCTTGATTTTATTGCAACCCCCTACCCTAACCCTTGCTCCAATCTCAGCAAATAGCACCCAGCATCTCCCTGGATGCTCGGACCCCAAACCTCAGAGCCACTTTTGTTCTAGGCCTGGAGATTGCACCCATCCCCCCACGCAAGCCAGCAGGTGCTGCACCGCCGAGCTACACCCCCGCCCATGGAGTCACTCTGGATGCCTTTTTATCATAGCCTACCTGGCGCTGCTTTCAAACCATACTCTATACCAAATACACCTACTACTTAAATTAAATTCACCCACGTCTCTTATCCGCATTCCTAGTCGTCCCAGTTCTGCCTTCTAACATCCATTCTCCATTTACCATCCAAAGAGACGCTGTGAAGTATGTCTGTTTTAGGGCTGCACTATGACTTTTGTGGGCACTAGGTACGTCTGCCTTCCTTTCCATCATAAAAGGTATTATGAGTTATATAACTGTATTGTACAAAGATAAGTGTATTAACATTACATATTAAGACTTTTATTAGAAGTAGTGCACTTTTTCCTTCCGATTTTAAAAACACTCAAACATTTTTATGGGTCCCTAAGGTTCCTGTGGGCCCGAGGCGCTAAGCCTACTGTGCCGCCTGGATAAGCGAGTCCTCATGAGGTCGCACCAGGCCCGCACTGAAAAAGGCTTTGACCATGTCTCCTGGCAAGTGGAAGGAATTCCAAAGGCCTTGCCAATCAATCAATCAATCAATCAATCAATCAATCAATCAATCATTCTCTCTCTCTCTTCTGTGGCTATGGCAGTTGCCATCCATGCCTTGAGCAGTCCAACTTTCATCCTGACGGGGTCCCAGCCCTTCACTTCAGTTCTCTGAGCCCGGGGTACCAAGCCTGTGAGTTTCTCTTGGATTGTGCAGGGATGGAAGAAGACGGCTGGACTTGAGGCATCTGGCAGGCTCCCCACCCAAGGGGGCTGTCTTCTAGGAAAGGCTGCCCCAGCTGCAGGAGGCGGAAAGTTGTATCACCACAGATAGGAGAAGAGAAAGGTAGAAGAGTTGGTGCCACCCACACGGTGGCTTCTACCAATGGGGACAGAATCACAGCAATCAGGTGAAGATGCTTATCCTTTCTCTCCTCCTCTGCCCCACCCCAGCCCACTGGGGGAGATGAGGACTGGAAGAGGGAGGATATTCCAATCAGGTATGAAGGTTGAAGTCTCCAATCAAATCTCATTGAAATGGATTTGTCAAATGAAGCAATGACATCAGACGTCCTGACTCCGAGACGGTGTCACCTTCCCACACCAGCTGCCATCTTAGCATTCAGTCTTCTTTATCTCTGTCCAAAAGCTTATTTCCTTCTTGGAAGAAATGCCAGACTAAAACCAAACGTGCTGCACATCTGCCAGGAATGGCCCCATGCTTCCCGTTGGTGTATTCTAGCCCTGTTGAGAGGATCTTTAAATGGCCTGCTCCTATTTCAGGATCTCAGAATGCTGATCCAGGTCAGGAAGGCCTCAGAGGGAGCCCTGGAGACACCAGAGCCGAGACACGGGGAGCTGCAGTGGGGTGCACAGTCTGCACAGGAAGGGTTTAATCGCCTCGCTGACCTAACATGCTTGTGTGGGCAGGACGCACCTGGCTTGTGCCCACTGCCCTGACTCATTGTTGATAGAATCCCCTTTAGGTCAGTCCTAAAACATTCTCTCTGGATAATAAATGGCAATTCTAGCAAACAGCTGCAGAAATCAATTGACAGAGCTGACCTCAAGGCACCTTTGATTTGTGTATGACGAAAATGAAGAAAAACCACAGATGTGAGTAGCACCTGGACCCAGCTAAAACAAGGACACCAGGCCGGGGCAGGGGCCTTCTTAGTGGAGCCGCTCCCCAGCCCTGGGTGACCGAGTGCACACGGCCAGCCGAATTCCTCTGGACACGAGACAGCTATCGTTCGCCCTTCAGTCAGCAGATGGTACTGGAGAGTGATCGCCCCGAGGAGGCCTAGCCTCTACAGCAGCTCTGAGTTAAAGATTCCACGGAGGGTTCCTAGAGAAAAATCACATCTGAAATGTCACACAGGTGTCCCTGGGGTTTCCACTGTCAGGGAGGTGGCAGCTGGAGCCAGGAACAGTGAATGAGGAGGAGTGGAGGAGCCGAGCCAAGGGTCAGCATTCTGACCCCTTTTGACTTTCGTGCCATTGTCTAACTTTGTAAGGAAAGAATGCACACTACACAGGGCTGTCTCCTAGCGGCTCATGGTTCTTTACCTCTTTAGTACTATTTTCCTAGTTTCTTTTACACCAGCTGCTTCCTGAAATTCAAAATTCTTTGGAAAAATTGTGTCTCCCACTTTGCCACAACCTTCTGAATCGCACCAACAAGCCATTTTCAGCTTCACCCTCACGTTTGCATTCATGAACATTCCTAAGTCCCACTTATGGGGTCTCCTAAAGCCCCCGGCCACGGACACTTGACACCACTTGGGCTCACACTTCTGCATCAGGTGGGCTCACACCATGTCCTCAAGTCTATTAAAGCAGGTTGCAGAATGTGCTGGAAGGCTGCGCTGCTCACAAACATTACAGGAGAAGACAGGGGCTCTGTGGCCAGAGATATTTATTGAGATACACATTTAAAAACATGAACAAGTCTCTTTACTATGGGATTTTCCATGTGCAAACAGGCATGTGAACCCCGGACAGAAACAGGGAATACTCAGAGACATCTCCCTCCAACCCGAGGATAGCACCCTTTTGATTTTTGCTAGAAAGTCAGGAGGAACACTTGCGACATATCAAAGGAAACATTTCTTTCCTGTCCTTGCTGGAAACATATGCTTACAGTATACATAACCAGTACACGTAAGGCACCAGTTGTACTAGTATTCTGAGTGCAGCCCCCACGGCCCTGATAGTCTAAGCACATGCTACCTTCTATTAGCACTGAGCAGCGCATGTGTATGTAATTCCACAGGCCTCCACATGCTGACACACAGAGCAAGCGGGGCTTCTGGGACTTCTCACGCACCAAGCATGGATATTACTTCGGCTTTTGTGCCACTTTCTAATTTTGTAAGAAATGGAAGTCACTTTTTTTCACTAAGCAAAAGCAAACAGAAAACCCCAAATTCTAGACAGAAACGGAGAGCTCTCTTCTTCCCCAGGCAAGATTCCTGTTGGATTCCAAAGCAAATGTGCTGCAGCTCAGAAGATTCCTGGCAGCTTTGTGTCTCTGTGCTATGCATAGTATTTCTTACGCAAACGGACGAGAGCATGTGGCTGTACACATCTTGAGCTGGATCAGGACTGCCCTTTCTAGAAGCGCAAAAGCCCTTAAGCCACCAGCAGACTGTCTGAGTGACAGTCCTATAGCTTGAATATCTTCCCAGCCACTACATAGGCTGAAATTACTCGGGGTCCAAACCCACAAAATTGTGTCTTGTATTTCATTTGCTGTTTTATTCTCTTTACATTTAAAAGTGCTTAGGCTGACACTGAAAGGCGTGGAATAAATTCAAGTCTTTTCTTTATATGCTATGATAATTATATAGATAAAACATTTGCTGGGGTGCATGATCTTCACCCATTTTGCATTTTTCAAAACTTCATCTTCTACTCTGGTACTTGATTACATCCATGCCTGTAGCCTAAGACATTCCAGAAAAGGGGGCCTTTTTAAAGCTCAGGTAGAGAGAGGCATACTGGTGCTTCTTAAGGCAGCTTGCAAGCAGCTTTACTATCAAATAAGTGCAATGAGAGGGAACGTTTCCAAATCAAACAACCGCATAGCTCTCTGGACACAGAGAAGACTACGCAGAATAATTTTCATTAGGCTGCGCGACCATGCCAGGCTTCAAACAAGTGGTTCTTCTGTTGTGACATCTGCTCAGCAAGGCATCCAGTGTTCTCTGGAATTTAATTCATTTTAAATTACTCTGCCCAAGTGATAAAACGAGATGGGCATGCTCCAGGGGTACAATGCTGGGCTTGCTTTTCTTGTGCCCATAACTGCTAGCTGCAGAGCAACGCAGTCTGTTCTCCTTAGGTCTTGATCGCTGTCTTTTGAAAACCAGCTAGCTCTAGAAATGCGAGTGAGCTTTTAGTAAGTGGAAAAGTTGGGATAAACGATCCTGTCTCCTCTGTGTGACTGTGACGTTGGTAGAGTCACATGCAATGGCCTCACAGAGCAGGGCAACAGTCTTTGGAAGAGAAACTACAAAATCAAGAGCAGTTTGGTGAGCATGTTTACTGGGAGTTTGGTGTGTGTATTAACAGAGACAATAAATTACTGTTCAAGGGCCACCATGCCAGTGCTCCTAATCCTAAAGGCTACAACTGCCTGGCTAAGAAATTCTGTGACAGTTTGTAGAAGTTGCATGTGGTGGGAACACTGCCATCTGGAAACATTCGTCAGACATGAAAGATATCGAGATATAAATCTAAGAGATCACACACATATGCACATAAGAATTCATATGTCCTGTATGCCACTTATTTAATATAAACTTTTGAAATAAGCTCAGGTGAAATAAAAATCGAAGTTCTTGAAAAAGTGAAACATTAACTTAATTGCCAAGTATTTCCTATTGCCCCAAACAACAGTATTTTTAAAAATTCTGTGGAAAAGTAAGCTTTTAAACTGCTTACATGCTATGATACATGAGGCAGTTTTCAAACAATAAAGTCAGTCATTTTGCACTTTGAGAAAGGGAAGGGGACCATGAGTGTCACACACACGTGCATGCGTGCACACGGCCACTGATAACATCTGGCCTCTGCTACAGTGAGTACATAAAGGTCACTAAGTGCTTCCAGGAGGAACGCTACATCACCCCTCCCTGCAATCCAGGTAGTTTCCTTTAATCCAGTAGCAAATCTGGGCATATTTGAGAGGGGTGATTCGAACGGCCACATTGAAATCCTGGGGAGAGCCATTCATATCCACCCACTGGTGTCCTGAGAAAATGCCAATAATTTTTCGCTCCCACTTCTGCTGCTGCCTCTTCCACATCCTCACGTAGACCCCTGAGCCACTGGCCCCGGGCTGGGCGTCACACTGCTGGTAAAGCAGGTCATAGGTCTCATCTTTGACGTCACAGAAACGATACACCAAGTTGCCCGGGCGGTCATTGTCATAGCCAGAGAAGTGGATTCTGCCCCCTGGTAGCTGTTTAGCAGGAGGGCTCACCCCAATATTCATGAACTTTCTCTTGTGGGGCTTTTTCAGTTCCAGGAGGGCATAGTCATAATCCATGCCAATATCATTGGCATTGCCCTTGATCCAACCCTTGGGCACGTGGGTGCGTTTTACCCGGATCCACTGAAATTTCATCTTCTCTGGGGTAGCTGAGTTCGAGCTGTTAGTCTCTCGACCACTGTCTTTAAACTTGGGCTTCAGGAAGCCCACTCGAAGTTTCTGTGTTCCCTTCACATAGGTTTTCCCATCGTGTATGCAGTGGGCAGCTGTAAGGACATGTTTCTCTGCCACGAGTGTGCCAGTGCAGCCGGTGGACAGCTTCACCGAGGTTGAGAAAGGGTAGTTGAGCAGGAAGTCCTTCCCAAAAATGCTGAACCTGCTGTCATAGCCATAGATCTGCCGCTTCCTCCGAGATGATCTCGACAGCCCCGAGTCACGGTGCTGGGCGCCAGGTCTAGCACTGCTGAGGATGTAAATGCCCACGTGAGTCTCCGTGCGGCTGCCATTGGCATAGAGTGTCTCGTAAGACAGGTACTGCTTGGCCTCTTCGTAAGTAGGCAGTGGGGTTCCTTTGTGACACTGGGGTCCACACGAGGAGGACACCTCCAGTTTGGCTTTTGCCCCAAAGTCTGGCTTAGCTAAGTTGAGGGTAGACTGGGGCAGGACAACAGGGAGGCGGTAAGCAGGCCACGTGGGCTTCCAGGAGGCTTCGTAGGGACTCACGTGCCCGAAGACACAGAGCAGGAGGAGAAGGAAGAAGAGGAGCCCCGGGATCCCGGCCATGCTGAGCACCATCCTGTGGACACAGAGACGAGTAGATCAGAAGGGGAAGGGAGGAACCTTATTTACTACAAACCAACAAACCCCAGCAGCATGCCTGTCACTGCTTTGGTAAACCTTTCTCAGGAACTGGTGTGCAGAGGAATCCTTAGGTAATAGTCTCACTATCCAAGGGCTCACTCTTGAAATGTCCCTGCGGCTGGGTGCCCAAGGAAATGGGGTCTTCACTCCCACGATGGTATACTGTAGTCAGCGTGCACAAGGTCAGGGGTTCCCCATGAGCAACTGATCACCCCAATTTCCACGATGCTGAGCTGTCTTTGCACTCGCTTCTACACCTCGCCCTCTCCTACTGTCCTGGTCCCCCACCTTTCTTTCCTTCTTTCTAGTTCTCACTACAAGTTGTACTTGGAAAATGATCAGGACAACTTGCTGATGTACAGGGTAAATCTCAGTTACACACTTTACTGCATGACCATGTCACCTACAAGTGATAACTCCAGTGTCACATGTATTAGGACTCCCTCCACTTCTACACAACGGGTACATTTGGAAGATGACATAATAATTGTATTTTTTTTACTTTGAATTTAAAACAATTTTTAGGATTACATATTTAGTTCCAGAGTATACAGGCCTCTAGCAAACAATACTTTTTCCATTTGCTCTGCATTATGTTGTGTGCTATGAGGATCCTTGTCAAAAACCTACAGCTCTAATACTGCATTAGATATCAGACATAACCTCATGATTATTGCTGTCGGTTATCTTTTCAGGTGTCTGTATCTACGTCCTAGCTATTTTAAATACATAATGTGCCTAACATTCAACAAAAACGTATGCAGCGAATGCTTGTATCAATGGAAGAATGAATGAATGAATGCTGTGTTTCAGAAAACACAGTTTTGAATGATATACACTGATTTCTAATGACAGAGATGTACCTAGATGGTGCGGTGCCTCAGACCAAGGGCAAAAACGTCAGATGCGGAGAATAAGAAGAACAGGGGTGGCAATTTAGGGGGATGGGTGCTGAAGGGGGAAAATGTTAGGTGACACAAGATAGGGGGAAGGGAACGCTTAGAGAACAGGAAGGACAGCCCGTGCAGGGCGCTGGGCCACGCAGTAGCATGTGCTGTTTTAGGACTTACATTTGGCAGAGGTGGAGCAGAAGAGATGGCAGAGGCTGCAGGCAAGAGCCAGGTTGTGGATAATTACATGTTCTATCTGAAGGAGCTAAAGGTGTGTTAAGTATCTGGATTGATCATCTCTCAAGGAAACCAAAAGAAAGATTCACAGAGCTCTGCCTGTCGCAGGGCAGGGCCAGAATTATAGCAGAGGCTCTGGGGATACAGGAAGAGGAGGGGGAATGGTTCCATTATTCCCACCTCCTCCCTCTTTTTTTTTTTTTTTTTGTATTTTTTAGGGAAGTGTCTACAGGGTGTTCAGGGTCTCACAACTAGATCAGACTCATAGTGATCCTCCTGTTTACAGCCTCCCAAGAGCTGGGACTACAGGTGGCACCACCACACCCAGTCTTAACTGCCCTCTCCGCACACCCGGGGGCAGGCCCAGGGATCAAAAGCCCAGCCCCTGTGTCTGCTTGTGGGCGCTTTAATCCACTGAGCTATTTGGCCATTTGGCCGGCCCTACCTTCATCCTCTTTGAGGCTGCAGACCTGCTGGCAACTTCTGTGCCCACTTTTACATAAAACTGGAAAATCCCATTGATTGGATCTAGTCCCAGGAAGCACGCCCGCAACCCACGTTCCCAGTGTCCACACACTGAATTTCTAAACTGTGTGTGCATTCCACCCACCGCTGGAATCTTCTTGCTTTACTTTCTCTGGAATTTCACTTCTATCAAGGAGAACAGGAATGAGAAAAGGAAGAGATGAGGTCCAGAGAAGCCAACTCTCTGGGATTTCCTGCTTCGCTCAAACTGCTTCGTATCATCTTTCTGAATAAGAAAGGACCCTGGGCCTTTTTTGTGAGGGTAACATACATACAAACTATTTATGTCTCTGAAATACGAGCCACACGTATATGTGCACACACGTGTGTTTGCACGAGCTTGAGGGGAGCACAGCCGAGAGCAAAGGGTCTAAGTGGACCAGGAAGGGTGAGCCCGTGCCAGCGGTATTCCCCAGCCCCTCCCCCATGGAGAACTGGACAACAAGACGGTCCTGGTGAAGACAAGCCTTTGGGGACCTGTGACATGGCTGTGCCTAATTACCACCATCTCCTGGCTGAGGCTATAGCTCTAGGCTTGAATGTCTTTTTATTTTTTTCTATGTAGGTGGATATAGGTGACTAAATGCTCCACTCACACCAGGATCCCTGCCAGGTTGACGTGAGCTAATGGGACTTGAGACTCTCCCCCGTGGCTGTATCTTTAGCTCCAACACACTACGCTCTCCTCCCTTTGACTAACCTGGAGAATATTAATTCTGCTAACACTGAGCAGCAGGATGTTTTATGCCAAGTTTTACTTCAGCTTATCTTAAGAAAAGAAACAGAGTCCACAGGTCCAAGTTGGTAAGTGTTCTGGTTTTTAGAATATGATTCTGGAGGGAAAGGGGAGACAGTACTATACTACGTACTAGCATAAGTAGCTCATAATATTTGTAACATTCAGGAGGATGTTCTCACATTATCATCTCTCTTCTAGAGCACGGAGCTTTAATCATAAATTTGAGGCCTGTATGTTAATTGAATCTTGGGTGTGCAGAGTTTAAATTATTGATGGTACCAAAACTTTCCCAGGGGTATCTGCCTTTAGCTTTATCAACTTATCCAAAAATTGAAACAGGGTATGTACAAATTTATTATTGGGAAGATGACAGACAACTCTGTGCCAAGCATTTTTGGTATCGCAAATCGAGGAATGCTATTAGAAAATGCTGAAGAGTCTGCTGTATGAGGGAAGACGATGAATTCAGAGTGCTTCCAGCTGAAGCTCTGGTCGTGTGTCCAGGAGGGAAGGGCAGTCAGGCATCTAGGAGAAAGAGACTGCTAAGCCGGGAAGGCAGGGCACAATTTGAACCTTTAGAATGCACTTTTTGGATCCTTCAAACACAGTGCTTTCTGTTACTTTGAAACATTACTTGTAAATTCCCTAGATGATGATCATGATTTTTACTATTATTATTTCGTATTTAGTACAGGGTCTTACTACACAGATTGGACTCAAACTGATCCTTCTCTTTTCAGCTGAGATTACAGGTGCGTGTCACCATGCTCAGTCTCAACTGCCTTCTCAGCATGCCCTTTGCCAGGGCCTGCACGGTACACTGAAGATCGAACTCTAAATTCCCTAGATTATTGTCAAACTATATTGACTTGTGTGTTGAGACAGGAGTCCCTGTGTTGCTTAAAGTTACTATGGACCAAGCAGGGGATATAGCTCAGCAGGGGCTGGGGACATAGCTCAGTGGCATGAGAACCTGCCTGGTAAGTGCAAGGTCCCGAGTTCAATAACCAGTTTCTATGGACCTCTGACAGTTATAAAATAAAATGTCAAAAAACTGTAATTCAGATTTAGAAACTAATGCAAACTCACATTAGTAATTCGTGTCAAATTATTCCACACTGCTTGCATTCTAAATAGCTGATGAGAGACTGGGTGTGGTGGCACTTGGGAGGCTGGAAACAGGAGAATCACTATGAGTCTGATCTATGTAGTGAGACCCTGAACACCATGTAGACTCTGCCCTAAATACAGAAGAAAAAAAATACCTGCTGAGAATGGAGTGACAAGCTGTGCTCAGCCTCGAGGAGGTTTGCAGGGACATCTGAGTTCAAGTGCAGGGTTCCTAAGTTGCTCGCTGCTCTGCCACATACTTATTTAGGGCAGTTTAGATGCTGTTCTCAACAGCAACCTGAACCACATGGTCTTTTTAACTGGTCTCTGTAGATCCAGGATTATCTTACAAGTTTTCAGGATCAAAAAGTTCAAGTCAAAGACCACGCTGTTTACAAATAGCATCTGTACTATCATTTACTGCCCAGAAGTGTTACTCTTGAATTATGGAGGTAGGTTGGAGGAATAGGAGAAAAGGAAAATGAGAACTTGTCACTCTAAGGTCCTACCTAGTTGGGAAATAAGAGTTGTATGATCAATCTGCAGGAGAAACTAAGGTCTCCAGCAGAGGGCAGCTTTCAAGAACTGAATGAAGGGATGGCTCCATGTGAACAGATTTAGGGACAGGTCCCCGGGAGGGCGGCTTCCTGGGGGAGCCAGCCTTGCTGTCTACTGGGGTCTTTCCTGAATTATTTATACTGTACCCTGAACATTTGCATTACTAACAACCAATGATAACTGTGATGCTTTAAAATTAGGGAGGTGGTGTTACATTAATTTATAAACTTATTTGAAAATAGAATAATTCCCCCAGAGACAAATAATTATTGTTTCCAATGTTATAGACTCTAGGTGAGCCTACACTAGATCTGTATAAATATATTTAAACATAGATGCCCTAGAATTTAAACAAATGTAATGAAGCACCCCAAATCCAACAATTGGAAAGACAGCAAACAAGATACACAACTTAAACTTTCTCAGTGTTACAAATGGATCACTTTATCCTTCTAGAGATGTTTAAATTCACTGTAACCAAAGAAATGGAGGTTACCAAATCTTATCCTCACTATTGTCTAAGTCTGGGTGAAGAACTTTAGGTCTACAACATTCATCTCCAGGAACAAGCATCTGCTGGATAAAGATTCCTCATGCACATATATTATCTTTCCAAGTTTTCAACAAAGCGTTTTCATGCCTCACCTCGCTCAAATGGCCAAGCAGAATGGAAAAGTAAGGCAAGCAAGTAGTTTTCACTATGCTTAGTAACACAGAAACTCTATTCCTGTTCCCGTCCTGGGTATCTGATTCGCCAAGGGCTTCCACATTCCTAGCTCCATCATGCAAGATGAACCAGTCTCCATGCCCAGAGTCTCGGAATAGTTATGCTGGGTGAGTACGCTGCTACTCCATGGACTCACTAATAATATGGGGTGGACTCTGCCCCTCACCAGACCTGCGGACAATAGCATCTTTGGAGACAAAGCACTGCCACTGCCATCTCTTGTCCTGCGCTACGGTCTTCCACACTGCAACAACACAGGTCCCCTCTAGAGGGCTACTGTTTGAGAAAATGACTTGATTGCTAGAGCAAACAAGCGCATGAGGGAAATCCTAACCCTTCAGCATCCACTGCCTAGTGCACAACCCATGAATTCTTGCGATCTCTATAAGTGCTATGGACAGAAAAAGCTGCAGGAAAGTGTGGGAAGATGCCAGTTTTGGATACCAAAGAAGGACTGCGAAGGGTCTTCCATACATGCTATGGCCAGGGGTACTCAACAGTGAAATCATGCTAATTCCTAAAGCAAACATCTAAAAATGAACAAAGATCTGCAAATGCCCTGCAGCCAGGCTCGCTCTCACTCCCCCAAGTCAAAGAACTTGCTGAAGCAAAACAGACCTAATCGCATAACAGGTTAAGAACAGTTTTCTCCAAGAAACTTTAGGGCACCTAGAAGCCCAACTCTAAACACAATCTAGTGGCCAAAAGCAGTTGAACTTCTCTATCAGATTTTAGGCAAAATAAACTACCCTAGGAATCCCAAGGCCAACCTGGCAGGAGAACAAAAACAAGGAATAAAAACTGTCAATGGTGAGACCGTGAGAAATAGAGTCCCCACAGTCAGAGTTGTGCCTGAACAGTGCCTGGGGCACTGAACTGGAAAGGAGCTATGAGAGAGATGTAGGGGAGGACCTGCGACTATTAAACACTGCAGACCAGGGCCAGGAAGGACCTCAGACACAGGAATGGGCCCTTCGGCACTGAGGCTCAGACAGAAAAACACATTTACCGTCTCCCTGAAGAGTCCTCAGGGTTACATTAGTTACCTTGGAAACACACTTCTTCCCTAGCTCAGGTACAGGAGACCACAAGACGTCACCTCTTTGCTTCCATTAGGTGGGAAGAGGACAAGTGAAGAGTTTTTCACGGGCCAACGGTACCCACAGGCTCACACCTACTTTGAGGACATGCAGTAGTCTCTGTGGCTTGCTATGCTTCTTCCCACTCTACCTCCAACTCATTCCTAAGAGACCACTTGAAATATGGTTACAAACCCGCTTTAAATGTTCTCCTGCACAAGTAGGATCTTGAAACAATACGCACCGAATATCCTGATACTAATTTACCGTAGGAATTTGGCTATAGCTGCCTTCCCCTATAAGTTCAACCTTTGCCACAGGGAGGGGTGAAGACAACATGAGCACAGGCCTACCTGTTTCTGAGGAGCACACGGGGACCCCTCAAATACAGTTGCAGGAACTGAGAGGAACAAATCCCATTCCAACCCTCACTCTTAAGGATCCCAGGTTTTCCCTTTAGCCGTGGGCTATTTCTGAACTCTCCTGGGTGTCACCCAATGGGTAATTAAACAAACAGAGTTTTTATCAGTTGCTTTCTCTTGAGATGTTTAAAAACAACCTGATCCGTATTCTGCAGGAGAGTGTTGGTATTGCTTGATCTAAAAAAAGTCTTCCTCTTCCAAAAAGTTTTTGCACATTTAAAGTTTTGTTTAAAAGTTCACTTGAGATGGATGTTTGCAGGCTGAAGAAGAAATACGCGCTTGCAGCAAGTGTTAGCTGGTCTGAGGGCAGTTCTACACACAGCACCCGCAGGAAGCGCGCGGCACAGCGCAGCCCCCAGACCGGAGAGCGCCCTCTCCTCCGGGCCCTGCTGCTGACCTCTTCTCGCTCGCTAAGGTGTGTTCACAGTCACGTGTCTAGAGTTAAAAATTAATGTTCAGAACGTGAAGGAAGCACACGCAGTGTATGCAGAACCTACCCCAACCCAAGGAGCGGTGGGGGGAGGCCGGCTGCGGGGCAGCGAGGGCACAGCC